ACAGTTTTTTTTCAAAGTAATTATATTATGTTCTTGTGTTGCATATCTCTGTTTTCAGTATATTATTACTTTTTACAGCTTACTGTATATTTTGGTATAAATTTAGACTCTTTTCCCTGGGTAGTGACTTCTCACTATGTCCTCTTTAAACATTTGTAAAACGAAACACTTTTTTTTAAAATGCACACACACACACACACACATATATATATATATATATGTTTATGGGCCAATATAAAATAATACATGTATATGTTTATAAGCGAATATATCTGTGTGATTTGGCGTTTTTTTTTAAATACACATAATTACTCATTCACTGAAGTATATTGAATTATTCATTATTATCACCTAACGTGTGTAAAGTTCATAAATATATTTATGTTTGTGTCTGTAGGTCTATGCTTATCAACTGAAGCAAAAAAATTATCTATATTCTAAAGTGAATTAAGACGACAACTCGCAGGTGCCAATTTCCAAACTAACGCAATTTAGCTTCATAACACAGGAACTAAGATAACAGACCAAAACAGCACCTCAACAACAGCCTCAATCATAACGTTGATGACGTGAATGATGAGAACTTTTCTTCTAATAGTTTTCACCGAATACAAGGCCCAATAGCCACTCCAGGCAGAGTTTATTTCTAAGTTTACGAATGAGGTTGCTGTCAGTGAGTAATGGGAGAAAGTAAAAAGTGCTTATTATGAGAATATATGTGGAGGATAGATAACACAACCAAAAGGTTGACACGTGATTTCAAGAGTGGAACATCGTTGTCATCGAGGAAGAACACTGTAGGTAGTCTGTTCCACAAAGTAACCGTTCCATGAAAGAAGTTGTCTGATAGAACCGATGGAATAATAATAATAATAGAATGTGATTGAGTCGACCCTGGGTACATGGCACTGAGGGTTCTGGTGGTGAACGTCCCAAATATGTAGGTCATAGGTGAAATCTCTATTTGAATTTGACTCCTTGGTTGGCTGATTATGTTTAGCGGCATTTCAACACCTCTATTGCTTATTTAATGCCGAAATCTAAATATTTTGAACAATATTTTACGGTTTGAACTAAATATATTCTAAAGTCAATTGTATGCCTTCAAGTAAATATATTTTGAACGCAGTTGTATGCTTTCAACTACAGGTTTTGAACTAAATATATTCTAAAGTCAAAATGCATTGTTGCCTTCAAGTAAATATATTTTGAATATGTATTTCTGGTCATTTTATGCATTTTGTTGGTAATTTTGCTTTAAAATGCATTGTTGGTAGATAAAATGAAATGTATTGTTCATTTTGCTTTAAAAAATGTATTGTTGGTAATTCTTTGCTATAAAATGTATTTCTGGTCATTTTATAAAATGTATTTAAAAATGCATTGTTGGTAATTTTGCTATAAATATGTATTGGCGGTGTATTTCTGGTCGGTTTAATTTTTTTTTGCTAAAATATGTATTGGGTAATTTTTTTTATTTTATAAAATGTATTTCTGGTCATTTTGCTTTAAAATGCATTGTTGGTATAAATGTATTTCTGGTCATTTTGCTTTAAAAAAAATGCATTGTTGGTTTTTTAAAATTTTGTTGGTAATTTTTTATAAATAGGTATTGTAATTTTTTAAAATGTTTTTTTTATTTTTTTTAAAAAAATGTATTTGTTATTTTATAAATGTATTTCTTTTTTATATCATTTTGCTTTAAAAATGCATTGTTGGTAATTTTTTTATAAATATTTGTATTTTGTTTGGTAATTTTTTTATAAATGTATTTCTGGTCATTTTGCTTTAAAAATGCATTGTTGGTAATTTTTTATTTTTTAATATAAAATGTATTTCTGGTTTAAAATTTTTTATATATAAAATGTATTGTTTGGTAATTTTTTTATATATAAAATGTATTTTCATTTTGCTTTAAAATGCATTGTTGGTAATTTTGCTATAAATATGTATTTTGGTAATTTTTTATTTTATAAAATGTTTTCTGGTCATTTTGTTTAAAAAACGCATTGTTGGTAATTTTACTAAAATTTAAAAAAAATGTTGTTAGTAATTTTGCTATTTCATTTTGTTTAAAATGTTTTTATGGTAATTTTATAAATATGTTTGTCATTTTTTTTAAAAAATGTTGGTTTTAAAAATTTTTGGTATAAATATGTATTGTCGGTAATTTTTTATATATATTGTTGGTAATTTTGCTAAAATGTATTTTTTATTTTAAAATGTATTTCTGTCATTTTGCTTTAAAAATGCATTGTTGGTAATTTTTTTATATTATAAATGTATTTCTATTTTGCTTTAAAATATTGTATTTTGTATAAATAGGTATTTAATTTTTTTTATATATAAAATGTATTTCTGGTCATTTTGCTTTAAAAATTGCATTGTTTGGTAATTTTGCTAATTTTGCTATAAATATTTTTATATAAAAATGTATTTCTGGTCATTTTGCTTTAAAAATGCATTGTTGGTAATTTTTGCTATAAATTTTTAATATATAAAAATGTATTTCTGGTCATTTTGCTTTAAAATGCATTGTTGGTAATTTTAATATAAAATATTAATTGTTGGTAATTTTGCTATAAATATGTATTGTTAGTAATTTTTTTATTTTATAAAATGTATTTCTGTCATTTTGCTTTAAAAATGCATTGTTGGTAATTTTGCTATAAATAGGTATTTCAGTAATTTTTTATATAAAAATGTATTTCTGGTCATTTTGTTTAAAAATATGCATTGTTGGTAATTTTTTATAAATATGTTTAAAAATTTGTTGGTAATTTTTTTTTATATATAAAATGTATTTCTGGTTTAAAAATGCATTTTGGTTTTTGCTAAAATGCATTGTTGGTAATTTTTTATATAAAATATTTTGCTTTAAAAATGTATTTTGCTATAAATATGTCGGTAATTTTTTTTTTTATATAAAATGTATTTCTGGTCATTTTGTTTAAAAAATGCATTTGTTTTTAAAAATGCATTGTTGGTAATTTTGTCTTTTTTTATATAAAATGTATTTTGGTCATTTTTTTTAAAATGCATTGTTGGTAATTTTGCTATAAATATGTATTTGTCGGTAATTTTTATATAAAAATGTATTTCTGGTCATTTTGCTTTAAAATGCATTGTTGGTATTTTGCTATAAATAGGTTTGTCGGTAATTTTTTTATTTTATAAAATGTATATAAAAATATGTATTTTTTTCTTTTTGCTTTTTTGGTATATAAAATGCATTTTTTATTTTATAAAATGGTCATTTTGCTTTAAAAATGCATTGTTGGTAATTTTGTATAAATTTATATATAAATGTATTTCTGGTCATTTTGCTTTAAAAAATGCATTGTTGGTAATTTTGCTATAAATTTTGTCAGTAATTTATAAAATGTATTTCTGGTCATTTTGCTTTAAAAATGCATTGTTGGTAATTTTGCTTTAAATATGTATTTTGGTAATTTTTTATTTTTTCTGGTCATTTTGCTTTAAAAAATGCATTGTTGGTAATTTTGCTATAAAGGTATTGTAATTTTTTATATATTTCTGGTCATTTTGCTTTAAAAATGCATTGTTGGTAATTTTTAAATAGGTATTGTTGATAATTTTTTTATTTTGCTTTATAAAAATAGTATTGTCGGTAATTTTTTATATATAAATGTATTTTGGTCATTTTGCTTTAAAAATGCATTGTTGGTAAATATGTATTGGCGGTTGTTGGTAATGTATTTCTGGTCATTTTGTTAAATATGTATTTTTTTATATATAAAATGTATTTTTGGTCATAATTTTTTATATATAAAAAAATGTTTTGCTACCGTAAATATGTATTTCGGTAATTTTTTTATTTTGTATTTCTTTTTGTTTAAAATGCAAAAATTTTTTATTGTTGGTATTTTACTATAAATAGGTATTTTTTATTTTATAAAATGTATTTCTATTTTGGTATTTTAATTTTTTTATAAAAATGTATTTCTAGTCATTTTTTAAAAATGCATTTTGGTAATTTTGCTATAAATATGTATTTTTGGTAATTTTTTATATATAAAATGTATTTCTGGTCATTTTGCTTTAAAAAATAGGCATTGTTGGTAATTTTTTTATATATAAAATAAAAATATTGTTGGTAATTTTGGTATAAATTTTTATATATTAAAATGTATTTCTGGTCATTTTGTTTTAAAAATGCATTGTTGGTAATTTTGCTATAAATAAATGTATTTTTGGTAATTTTTTATATATATAAAATGTATTTCTCATTTTGTCATTTTGGTTTAAAATATTTTTTGGTAATTTTACTATTTGCTTTAAATAGATATATATTTTTTTTTTATTTTATTTCTAAAAAATGTATTGTTGGTATTTTTTAAAATGCTATAAAATATGTTTTTTTATTTTGGTATTTTTATTATATTTTTTTTATATAAAAATGTATTTCTATCATTTTGTTTAAATGCATTGTTGGTAATTTTGGTATATTTATTGTATAATTTTTTTTATATTTTATAAAATGTATTTACTACCACCCAGATCATTGTTGGTAATTTTATAAATATATATTGGATATATATAAAATGTATTTCTGGTCATTTTGCTTTAAAATATTTTGTTGGTAAATTTACAATAGATATATATTTTTGCTAATTTTTAATAAAAAAAAGTATTGCTGGTATTTTTACTATAGAATGCATTTTTATATTCTCATCGTATTTTATTTTTGTTTGGTGTTCACTATTTACCCATAGCTTGAATCCTAACAGGTACTACCACCCAGATGATCTCGAAAGTCTTTCTATTTCGAAATGCTGTTTATTGTGATAAACAGGTCTATACAATTTAAGTAATCTAAGCTAATGAAATTCATTTTGAAATATATTTTGTCAATCAAAGCATTTCTCTATAACTCCCTAACATTGAAGAATCAGTTTATATATCTTTTTATTACTTAATCAAAGAATTTGTAACATCCAGATGTTCCGTTGATGCTGTCGACTTGGCTATAGACGATAATGCCACAGATTCTCTACATTATTTCCCTTGCAAGTTCTTTACGGGTTGGATTTACTAAGCTCACATCCAAGCATTTTAAATTAAAACTTGGCCTTTTCCTAGTCTGTTTGCCAACTGAATCCAGTTCTTCTATTAACCTCATGCTGGGAGAAGTAAGAAATGGAACAATATCTTTGGAAAATGTTTTTCCAAAATTTAAATTTCAGAGCTCAGCTTCTCACCTTACGTTCCGCCATCCACTCATTCGATCTCATCAGGTAAGTGGTCTGTTGCCTTGCCCCGTGTTTTTGTTTTCCTATGATATGTTTTGTGCGGGTCAAATTCTCCAAACTTCCCTTCATTATAATTTGTCAGCGAAATTTCATCTCTTCATTTCTGATTCTGTTTATGTGTAATTTTCGTTTCCATTTTTATTAAGACTTATTCTTTGTTTATGCCTCAGTCCATGATATTCTCATCATCCTTCTGTGGAACCACGTTGACTTCAGTTTTTATTTCATCTATGAGAAGATTTTCAAGCATTGAGGGCTGATAATGCGTAACAGTTCAGAAGCCTTTGTTCTTTTAGTTTATTTCTAACGAAATTTTCCTGATTCTTAATATCTTGCTTAGCTTTTGAAAGGCATTGTTTGCTATTATTATTCGCGTTCGTATTCCGAGGTCTCAATTTTTGTCCTAAAGAAAAACACTTCCCAGCTATTTAAGATACTGTATTTGCTTGTTACTAACATCTCAAATTCGTACTTAGGATATTTTGCATTTTCTCTAGCCAACAACCAGAGAGTGTACTTTTTTTTTACAGGTGAGATTTAGTTTTCTTTTACGCTTTGTTTTGGTACATTGTTTACGACATCATGTGTTTTTTCGTTAACCGCAAAGCTATGCTCACATTTGCAGTAAATTAATTCAGAAAACGAACCATCACAAATAAATTCTTGCCTGTATGGAAAATATCAAGACACTTCCAAAATGATCTCTGAGACAGATTTCAGGTAAAAGGGAGGCAACCTATAATTCCTTATTCATAGGGCCGATTTCAAATAAGTTTTGCATATTTCTTTTCTTTTCAGTCAACCGGAAAAATTTTATTTTTCCGTTTGAATATATTATTTAGCAGTGTTCAATACGTTTATATGTATTATTTGAAAAAAATACGTCAATGGATCTTCCTGGGTATAACGATTAACTACATCCAACAGTTTAGCCTCGGATGAGGAGGTATTGACAAGCCAAGAACCACCTCTTAATTGCTGTTGTTCTCACTAATCCAACCTGACCTGGGGTGGCAGCACCTGTTATGATCCCAGCTATGGGCAAATAGTTAACCCCTATACTTGGGGCAAACATTATGAAAGTATAAAAATACATTTTTTAGTGAAAATAACAGCAATACATTTTTGTAATGAAAATTAATAATGCTACCAAGAAAATTAAATTTCTGCATGACCCATAAGAATTTGATATGTCACGAAACAAAGAAAGAAAGGAACGTCAATGGATGCTTCAGCATCTCTAACTGTTCTTTTAATCGAGCAAAACTTATCTGACAATTTTCCTTAAATACCCTTTTCAGCGTAAGTGAAGAAAATTTAAAAACGACCCATTTTAATAGGAACAATTTTCTGTTACATATAAATTTTATAGGATGAGGTCTTTAGCCTAATACCCAACAGGTTTTGAATTCAAATTTTTCCTTCTAGACTGGTTATCATTTACATCTAAACAGACAAGTCTGATTTAATATGTGATGAAGTGGAGACAGGCATTCATACCTTTCCAAAATACTTGTGCAAAACCGCAATGCCCGCGCCGATAGACGCTGATTTAAAGATGTTTAAAAAGTGTCTCATCATGGATAAAGTCTTGCCTATAAGGAAAACGTCAAGACAGTTCAAAATATATATCCTAGAAAGATTTCAGGCAAAAATCTAGCCAAACCGAAATCTGAAACCTTCAATTTTCTAAAATAATCTAAATCACTATTTTGTACAGTTTAATCTATGCACTTAATTCGTTCCTGTTTTTATTTTCCCTTGAAAAATTATTATTGAAAAATTAGCTACGTATTTATAAGTATAGGCTGAAGGCTTTAAAGAAGTTACTCTGATGAAAGCATCCACATTCAAGTACATCTAATGATAATAGCACTATCTTAGATGATACTCCAACGTTTTTTTTTTTATTTATTTATTCAAGGGACAACCTTTACTGATAAACTCCCTTAAATTCATTTTCCTGCATCAGTGATGAAGCGACCTATTTTAAAACATCAAACGAGATGAGTGACACCTTCTTAACTTGTATTAATCTTTCTTTATTCAATCCAAAACGACCTCGTATATCGAGTGATGTCTTTTCTTGATCGCCGTGAAAATAGCTGAAACGGTCCAATCGATACTGTGTGATCTGCTGCGAGTTCTCTGGCTGAGATTTTGGGATAATTTTCTGTGAACGCCTACAAATTTCTTCTATTGATTGAGCGTTTCGGTCGACTGCATTCTAATTCTAAAATTTAAATCTCCGCTTCCAGATAGTTGTTACATATTGGCACTCTGTATTCGCAAAAGCCTCATTCCCTAAAAGTGGAGTTTATCCATTAAAGATCAAGTTGAATTTCTTTAAATTATAAAATTCAAGTTTGCTTTTCTTTTCACCCCTACCTTGTACTAAACTTATATTCATAAATGTAAGTAACAAATTATGATACCATCAGACGATTTTGATTAATTATTTATCTAGAAATATAGTACAGATTAAGGTCAATTCACTATACTGGGGTGAGCATAAACAGATGACGAAAATGCAAGGATTTCTCCCTTGAATGTTTTAAAACAAGATTGTCTTCAAGTGTCAGAAAGTGGAACGTCCGTCATCAAGAGCTTGCAATTGTCAAAAAAGTGAATTTTAACAATTCAGATTTCCATGATATTTTATTGTTTTATTTTTACGAATTAAAGAAATATTTTTAGGTTATGAGACGTTTTTTTTTGTAATAATGTTTTTTACCGATAAAATTTCAGCTAGTTAACCCAAAGCTAGAGGTAGAAGAGGTGGATTTATTCCATTCCCAAGGGAAGATGCACGTAACTGAATATAACGACCCCAATTGGAACTCGGCTTTCCGACTTCCAATTCGGAGACATTAGCCACTACATCAACAGTACGTACAAACATGGTGGACCTGTTATTCTCATCAAACTTCTATGCCACCGGAAACCATTCTTTGCCTGAAAAAGTGGCATTATCATTTCTATAGAAAAATTACAGGTTTGCTATATTATGATGCAATCTTTTATTCAAACATAAAAAAATATTGAGGATAATCAACAATCTTCTAGATTTTAGTGTCGATGTTTTAAAATGTCAATATGTTTGCCACACCAAAACTAAGAAAGAATGCTTCTACTTTTAGTAAATACAACACAATCAACCACAACAGAAAAAAAATCAATCAACTCATATTTATAATCTGATACGTACCTAAGTAAAATCATATCAGACGATTTTACGTACCTAATTAAAAAAAAAGTAGAGAAATATTAACCACACACCTATTTCAAATAAGAATGTCCAAGGAAAAAGTTCTTACGTATTCTTGTACATTAACCTTTATCCGATGAGCGCGAGGCTGAGTGGATGATGTGGCCATGTGGTTAGAACGTTCGCTTTCTGAGCATGAGGTTTGAATCTCACCATGGTCGATTTGTGAGGAAAATGAATTCTTGTTATCGCAGATTGTGGCACCTTTGGTAACTGCCTGAAAGGGATTCATGAGAGTGTAACCTGGTAGGCGAAAACCTTTTCAATTCGTCGGTGATTCTGTCGATGGTTTGAGCGTACTAGACTTGTTCAAACCGTTAATCACGCTAGATAACCTGTAACTACATAGTTGCAGTATAAACCACTGGTGGACTCTGTGGGTATTGACCAAAAACAAATGTACCTGAGCAGGCATCTGCAATGGGGATTAGCTAGCCGCCCTACATGGCTGGCATCTTCAGATTCCAGTAACAGCACTATTTACTTTACTTTTACTTCAAGCGTTACTTCAGATATGTTCCATGTTTAACACAGTTCAAAAAAGTTTAATTTTAATTGATTTTTTTTCTTTACTTGTTTCCATAATAAGTTTCCGGAATAATAAATATGGCTACTGTACCTAATATCTTGCTTTGATCTTTCTTGGTAAAGTACTGTTATAAATGTTATGGAGTGGTTTCACAGTGGAGGCTTATATTTGTACTAAGTCGGTCCTAAAATAGGTTCGACGTACAAAACGTTAGAAACTTGATATAATAGGTAATGACGCAGAGAAATCTAGTTGTGGTCGCTGATATTTTAGTATCCGACTAACGGTCGTCCGGCATCGACTGACTGATCGACCCACTGAGCGATATTCAGTCACCTCCCCCACGAGGGCATCATGTGGCATAAGGCCGGTTTAACGTGTGATCTCCGAGCCCGTGGGCTCGGCCAAAATTATGCTCTTTTAAAACGCGTATAAACGGGTTCAGGGTCGGTTTACCTCCCCGAAAGAGTCTACGCCGAAGGGCGTAGATTCGTTCGGGTTCCTCCCCGCCAGAAGGCAGAGAGTTCAACCGGTCAGCTGGTCGCCCGGCTTCAGACTGAACTCAGACCGACCCACTGAGCGACCCCTTGTTACTCTTACTACTCCTACTTATTATAGGTGGGAGGGTCTATTAACAATAGAATAGGTGTGTTCCACTAACAATAAACATATATAGTGTCGCAAGGATACGTGGGAGTGTGTTCAGATCTAGTCAGTGATTTTTTTCTCCATGTTCACGCGACTTATTTTAAGATGAAATTTAAAAAAAGGGGAATTAAGATGAAATCAAAGCAAGAGAAAATGAATAACTTGTGCCAAAACTTCATTGACACAATTTAACTTTCTAGTCCGAATAATACGACAGGTCTATCTCTTTGCAGTGGGATGCTGATAAATTTATCGAAAGTGTATGTGAGAAATAAAGACATTGTTATGGTACTTTTAATATTAGACGTTTCCTTCTAAGGAAATATTCCGTATCTTGTAATACAGTCGGTTGAATTTTTCAAAATATCTCTCTTAAAATAAATTTTCAGAAAAATATTAGATTGGTGCAAAATAATGACGAAATAATGTCGTTTTTTTAACGTATTTTAACGTCAAAAAACGACATTATTACGTCATTATTTTTGCACCAACCTAATAGCATTCTCAAAGACCAGTAGCTGTTATAGCTCATTCCAGTATTGATTGGGTTTTCATTCCTAACCTATTGTTTGAAATAATATGGAATGTCAGTATTTTCCTTATTTTATCATTTTCTCTTCGAGTTACACCTGATATCCATTTTAGCTGTTATGTGTGTGTGTGCGCGCGCGCGTGCGTCCGTCTGTGTGCCTAGATGAAACCTCACGGTGGAGTAATGGATAGCGGCTCGGCTTGAGAAATCGGAGAGTTCGAATTCCAGTCAGATCCATTACATTCACTTACGTCCTAATACCCTTGGGAAAAGTATGAATCCTCTTCTTCTTCACCCACCCTCAGCTATGCGTAAATAACAGGACAGACCTGGCCTTGGATGGCAACTGGTCTACCGCAGAAAGAAATGAAAACCTACTGCGGGAAAAAAAAATCTGCCTCGTCAGTCGTGTATCGAAAGATCGCCTATACGTGTATCACGCATGGCGTATAACTGACTAGATGTGGCCGATCCGATACGGTAGATTCTTTACGAATGGATCTAATAAAATTTGGTGGTGTAATTATTAATATTCATTCTTAAAAAACTCTGACGTAAGTTTATCTTCGACAAACGCTGCCTACGAAAACCACCAAACATAAATAAAACCTACTACACACACACACACACACACACACACACACACACACACACACACACACACACACACACACACACACTTACGAACATAGATTTTCACCTGAATCTCACAAACTAGAATTATTATACACTTACATAGGTAAATCAATATTTACGTCTTTTCGACGTTTAGCTTATTTTGGGAGGTTCAAAGAACGCGTCATCTCTCCTCGCAAATGCTGCTATACAAGTCAAATGGACATGATGGCTGCTTAACAAATTAAATTCAAACAACAAAAACTAAAATATCAGGATTTATTTTTCTCCATATCTCATTCCCTGTTCAAGTTTTTAAAATTTTAAACATGTTAGATTGAATACGTTTCTTATTTGTTCTTCATAACATCATTCTATTCCGATCCATGTGGGTCTGTATTTGATTCCATTTCACACACACACACACACACACACACACACACACACACACATATATATATATATATATATATATATATATATATATATATATATATATATATATAATGATATAATATGGTAATCCGTATTGAATATTCAGGAGATTATAGATCCAGGAAATTGTCTATGTGAAAAGACAGAGCAAAATTATTATTAGGTAAAGAATATCAAACAGTTAAAATCTCATAGGTAATAATTTCTATTTCATGAGAGCTCTAAAAAAGCAGCTCTCACTCTTCAAGTCCTACAAACAAATCAGGTGATTTTTTTGTAGGTATTGAAGACTGATAGCTGTTTTTTAGAGCTCTCATGAAGTAAAAATTATACCTATGGGATTTTAAGTTTTGATATTCTTTAATCAATATATATATATATATATATATATATATATATATATATATACACACTGTGTGAGTTTAAGTTTATATATAACAGTCAAAATTATTTTTAATTATTTTTATTTATAAATATAAAAATGTAAATCACATAAATATATATGGGTTTAACAATATTCTGCGTAGCTGAATCCTTTTTTTAATTTTATTATTTTATACATTTATATGGAATCATTGATATACATTTATATTTGTCACTTTTGATTTTTATGATATTAGCTTTACTGTTTCGATGGTAATATAATTTTAAGCAGTCTTTATTGATTTACTGGTATATTCTTTCCTATATTAGCATGTGTTTCTTTTTAAAAAATATATCAGGAAATGTTGAAGGGCAATTCCATGAATTGTGTATTTTGGGGAAATTCCATGAATTGTGTATTTTGGGGAAATTCCATGAATTGTGTATTTTGGGGAAATTCCATGAATTGTGTATTTTGGGTAAATTCCATGAATTGGATACGACTTTTCAACCCTTTGCAAGTTATTTAAAGCCAGAATTTTTTTTTTTAATTTTAAGATTTTCTTGAGATAATATTTATTTGTGATGCAAGTCTTACTAATTAGCCCATAGCTTGGGGAGAAGATGTAGATTGATACATTTCCCAAGGGTATTTGTCTGAAAATAAACATAAAGAACCCAACTGGAATTGGAACTCGGCTCTCCGATTAACAATTTCGAACCATTATCGATTACACCACCTACACATCCAAGCTTACATCAGCTGATATTCCCTAGCGGTCACCCTCTAGAGGCTGACCATGCTCGATATTGCTTAACTTCGGTGATCGTAGCTGATGTGACTGTAGGTAGATTTAACATTATAGAATAATATTTAGAAATAGAATCAGTAAAATTCGGCTGTTTTACGTCGCTAAATAAAAGAGAATGAACATTTTCAATCCCAGAAATACAGAATATAAATTATAAATTCTTGTCTAAAAAAAAGTATGTGTAAGATGTGTAGTATGTAATTTGTAGTGTATATACGCTTATGCATACAAACGTGTGGATGGATGTGTGCGTGTTTACACGCTTCTTTTGTTCTGATATTTCCAATTTTTAATCGATAGACCGTTCAGTATATCGATTTCTCGTCTCCATTCTACCTTTATATTTAAACAGCCCTTGTGTTTTGTCAAAGCAATAATCGTTTATTCCTATGATTTATAGCTCTCCTTTCGTCTTCATTTATCTCGTCCTCCCCACCCCCGCCCCGTCCTTCCCACACAGCTATTTTTACCTTTAATTGTCCCTTGCTCTGCGCTTATCAATCTATGCCATTCTTTTCCTGACTTCTTTCATTACTCATGTAGAAAATGTCTTTTAAAAAGACTTACTTGAAATTCTTGATTTCGTTTGATTTTCTGCGTGTACCAACTTAAACGTTACTAAGTAAGCAGCATATTAAAGAAAGATAGGACTGGTATCGCCGTTTTCATTCTCTATTTATCTCTCTCTCTCTCTCTCTCTATCTTCCCCTCTTTTTCTCACTCTCTCTTTCTTGCTCTATCTCTCTTTCCGTCTCTCTCTCTTTCTCTCTCTCTCACTCTATGCCCCTCTTTTCCTCTCTCTCTTTCCCCCTCTCTTTCTCTTTCCCGTTCTATCTCTTTCTTTTTCCCTCTCTCTTTCTCCCATCTCGTTCTTTCCTACACTCTCTCTCTCTTTTTCCCGATCTCTCTCTCTCTATCTCTCTCTCTTTTCCTCTCTCTCTCTCTTTTCCTCTCTCTCTCTTTCCCCCTCTCTTTATCTTTCCCGTTCTATCTCTTTCTTTTTCCCTCTCTCTTTCTCCCATCTCTTTCTTTCCTACTCTCTCTCTCTCTCCTTTTCCCGATATCTCTCTCTATATCTCTCTTTTCCTCTCTCTCTCTCCCTCTCTTTCTCTTTCCTGTTCTATCTCTTTCTTTTTCCCTTTCTCTTTCCCTCATCTCTTTCTTTCCTACTCTTTCTTACTGTTTCCCGCTCCATTTCGCTCTTTTCCGCTCTCTTTCCCATTCCATCTCTATCTTTTCCATTCACTATCTCTCTTTTCCGCTCTCTCTCTTCCCCCTCACACACACACACACACGAACACACACACACTAACATCACCGCACTATTATATAGCAACTCTCTTCAGGGCGTGGCCGATCTTGGGTCTCCAAAACTATTTTTTTATTAGATATCGTGTTTTGGGGCACTTTACCTCCCCTCTTCTGCTCGGTCTATGAGTTCCTAATGTTTCCTTATGAGCAAAACTCCGAGTATTACAATTACCATTAACAAACCTAGTTCCTGCCGAGTCTTTCATATAGATGTCATGCATGGAGCCGAACCCGTTTAGTTACATCTAGACTGTCAGCTGAATACAATCGCTTTCTAAAATCATTGGTTAAAAATGGCTTGGTACATTGTTGACTGGCGCTGGAGAATCACCAAAAAAAAAAAAAAAAAAAACCTGTTCCAACATATATAAACAACGTAACGAGGACTTACCATCAACTAATTTTGTAACTCGAAAATAAAATAATCATATAATTATGATGCTGACGTTCCATAGGATAGGAATAAAGCCTCCATGAATGCTGGAAATCGCGATAAAAGCTAATAGACTTGAGAAAAAAATCCCATCACCTGAGGACTTGCAACAACAGCAAAAACTAAAATGGATATCACATGTAACTCGATGTAATAATAGTAACATAATAAAGATGCTGACGTTCCACACTACTTCAAATAAAATTTTAGGATTACCCCCACCCCGCCCCAATACTGGAAAGAATTATAACAGCTACTGGACTTGAGAAAACTATGTTCATGAGAAGATGTTTCAAAATAAAGACGTCATTTTCAACAGATAGCAACACTGGCTACTCGGTAAATTAAGACCTTGTGTTTCCCCATAAGGAAACAGATAATATTACCATTACCATATGTGTATATTGGTGTGTGAATTACACATTATTTAATTACTGTTCATATCTATCTATCTATCTATCTATCTATCTATCTATCTATCTATCTATCTATCTATCTATCTATCTAACAACAAACAACGAACTGTACCAAATAGCAGAAATCTCATAACTCGAGGACTTTCAACAACACCAATAACTCAAATTTGTTACTCGAAGAATAATAATGACATAATCAAGATGCTGGCGTTCCACACTACTTCAAATAGAAGGTTAGGATTACCACCTCACAACAATACTGGAAAGAATTATAACAGTTACTGGACTTGAGAAACATATGTTCGTGCGATGTTTCAAGATAAAGATGTTATCAATTACAAACGACAGCAGAACTGGCTGCTCGTTCAATGAATACCGACCGTTTCCTTATTATCATTACCATTAATATTTTTTTCTTATTGGGCTGTTCATTCACATAAACTTGTCTAATACGTTACACGTCGTTTCCCTTGTTTTATCTGCATTTTAATAAAACCTGTCCCTATTATATGCAAGCTAGACACTCTTTTCTCGGCATTTATCCCTGATATTTCGTTTGTCTCTTTCCGAGTGAAATTTCTATTCGCCATGATTCTTTTATTCACGGTTAATGATATTCTAAGCATTCGTCGATAGGTCCACATCTCTATCACTTCAAGCTTCTTTTTAATCTCTAAAATTCTCACGCAATCATTGCAACAGAGAAGATTGGATCCCAAAGAGCAGTTCCCAAGTGCTTTGTTTAGTTACCGTTCTTTATTTTGATTTCTCTGTTATGCCTTCCGTCATATGTTAATACACTACCCTCACGGTAAAGTCTCTGCGCCTGCTTGATTTTTACGCTCTAATACATTAATCGCGTCTTTTTCTATCTCTGAAATTTACGGTCTTGCATTCTGCATTCTTAAATTTAATAGTGAATCTTTTCTTGTTATTCTTTAGTTTTTTTTTCTCAAAGTCAGTCATCAACACAGTGTCAAATGATTATCTTCCGTTCTTAAGATTACATCTGACAATAATAAGACAAATTATGCATATTATGATCTCCTTGCTGTATATGCTGAATAAATAGGCTGAGAAAACGCTTGTATTTTAATCCTGGTATCGTGTTTGCTGCCCATATGCCGAACGCTAGTTCTGTGTAGAATTACAGGTCACACCACGGCGTAGATGTGCAGCTACAAATGTCTAGATAATTGGCAGCTGATGTCTACTCTGATCTAACTTTTGCAGCTTAAAGTGGGAGACAGAGGCTAGTATCATTAATAGCCCCAAACAAAACAACATTTCATTATCAGCGAGTAGGCCCTATACCTGCAGCAAACCTGATGAGTGGTCATGCCCTCAAACAGACTCCTTGAGAGACTAATGGGTGTAAAGCTCTCCCCAAACTTTAAACTCGCATATTTGGGCCATCGCAAAAGATGTTCGGTTTTTGTCACACTCCAAATAATAGTCCCGCTCTTATGGTCTATCTTTTAGCCTCTGCGCATCGTTGACAATGTTCAAAAGATCTTATGTGGCCTTGTGAGTGATGACATATTTTTCGCCCTAGAACCTTTATCCAACAGAGCATACAATATTAGGCTATCATTACTGGATCACTAAGACAGATGTACGAATGAGATATCTTTGTTCCACCAGCTCAGACCATCACAGCTAGTATCCGTAAGCCATATTTATGGTTGTAAATTATCCCAACTCCTTTTCTAAGGAGTAAGTGTAAATACAGATTCATCCACAGAACTTTGACTTTGTGAAACAAAGACCCGAGATGGTGAGTCCATGATAACTAACATTTATAATTCTGCAGCAAATATTTCACTGAAATATGTCAGAAATCTTACACGTTTATAGCTTAGATTTATATGAGATTATATCTTATATTGTAAGAAAATACAAACTTTGAGAAACACCTTTACAATATAAGAAAAAAGATGGCCTCCGTTCGGTCTATATCCCCCTGGTGTCAGATTAAACTCGTTGCGACATATCTAAATAATTATCATAATTAAATTTTGGAAGGCTAATATTCCACTGAAATATGTCAGGAAAACTTACATGTCTATATCTTATATTCATATAAGTTTACATCTGAAATTATAAGAAAATACGAGCTTTAAGAAAAATAATTACAGTATATGAAAAAATGGGCCTCCGTTTGGACGACATTTTCCTGGTGTCAGTTTAAACAAATGTTTTCATTTTTCGATACATTTGAATAATCATTATAAATTAAAGGCTTAGAAAGCAAAAATTTCACTGAAATCCGTTCGAAAAATTCCAGTATTTCATTTGAAATAAAGAGAATACGACTTTAGATATTATGAAGAAAATGCATGGGAAAAAATGCGCCATTCTAACCTCTCGCCAGGAGGATATGGGTTGAGTATTGCTCATCAATATTTAAGCTTTTAGTTTGATCGTAGGTGATTTTGAAATCGCTAATAAAGGGCCAGCTGAAAAACAAAGACTATAGCTATGAATGTTTGATGTATTTCATTTGGGAAGTATCAACATTTCTAGAATTTGGAATGTAGGAAGCCAATTTCGTCAGGCCGTAGAAATTTGTAAATAGCGCTTATTATTTTTTTTCTCTCTGTCATGTTTAGGCAAACTTGTAAAAACTAAATAAATCACGCACAGAGAAACAGACTGGTTGGCACTAATACAAGGAAAAATGTGTATAAAACTATTATTTATTATTGGATACAATAACAGAAGCTAATAAAATTTATGTCTAATAATTGCAATTATTTTAACTAATGATATTTAATCAATAAAGAAACACTGTAAATCAATTTAGAAAAAAGGTGAAAAAGGTTGATCGATAAATAGATCGATAGATATACAGAAAGATATTAAATGAAAGAAAATAGCTATTGACGTTACTAGTTTGCCATAATCACGTAAGCCAATCGATATTTTATGAGGGCCTTGAGATACGGTTTGAAAATACTGTACGAGGGAATAATAAATGGTATTCAGTATTTGAACAGAAATACTGACTTTTATACATTTTAAATGTATATAACTTTCAGCGAAAAGACTTTTTGAAAGACTTCACTTTGATATCTGTAGGTGGGGATGGCACGATGTTAATTGTGTGGGCTGCAACATTCTTCCAGATAAAAAAAAAGACATTCAAATAATTAGCTTCTTTTTTTTTTAAATATGAAGACATTAAGACCCTAGTGTTCGGGAAGCATTTTCGAGGTAGACTGTTTTCCCAAAGTAGTAGCTCTTGGGAATAGGACTGCCTACTTACTAACGGAATACATAGTGAATGAATATAATTGTCCTGTGAATGTAATCAGTTCTTTTTTCCATGGAAATAGTGATAGAGACGAAAGAGGTATACGAAGTTTCGTCTGTGGAAAACTTATGTTCGGTGGATCAGAATTCATCACACGTAAGTCCGCGTAAACGTTTTTGAACTCTGTCGAGGCTAAACAATGAGGTCTGAGCACTACTAGAACCCATTCCTTTCTCGGTTTGATCTAAAAATTACTTCCTCAAGCTGGAAAAAAGTAATCCACGTTAAAGTATATGTATCATTGTATAATGCAGAAAATTCCAATGAAAACGGTTAAATTTATGATTTTTGGTCAGTTATTGAAATCAGTGGGTAGCAGTTTTTTTTTTTTTTTTTCACGTGTTTAGATTGTGCCTGATTTTAGAAGTAACTTACAGACAACCAATTGGCGTACATCTGCTAAAAATCATGCCGTATTCGAATAATACAATCTCTATCTGTAATATTTCATAAAGAAAACAAAAATCGTTATTGATTATGTCGATTCTTCTAGAATAGCTACAATTATGCAAACTCTATTTCTCGGCACGCTACAACCGTTTCTACAAATTCCACATTTTTCCGACCTCCTCCGGTGACTTTAAATTGGCTTGAAATGCAAGGTTATATAGACACAGACACATACTCTCTCTCTCTCTCTCTCTCTCTCTCTCTCTCTCTCTCTCACACACACACACACACACACACATATATATATATATATATATATATATATATATAATTACACACTCAGATACACAAATACACACACATATATATATAATTAGACACACACATACAGAAACACACACACATATATATATAATTACTCACACACATACACAAACACACACACACATATATATATAATTACTCACACACATACACAAACACACGCATATATATATAATTACACACACATACGCAGACACACATATATCTATATATAATTACACACACACAAACACACACACACATATATATACATATATATAATTACACAAACATACACATACATATATATATATATAATTACACACACAGACACACACACACATACACACACACACACATATATATATATATATATATATATATATATATATATATATATATATATGTATACTGAGAGTAAATAATTAAGAGATGCTGGAAACAATCTGAAACTAATATATGTTCTTGTATTTAAATAATCGTGTCAGCAACAAAACATTTTCACTTTTTAAATTTAATAAGTGGATAGTTTCTCAAGTAAAGAATTCATAAATTTAAATCCGCCACAATTATAATTTGAATATACACTAACGTCAGTAAAAATTGTTACACAACATTTACACAAGCATTTACTAAAATAGAATAGACAAATTTTAAAAGAAAATCACACACACATTCATGTACGCATATATACATATATATATATATATTTGATTTCGTGCGATCACTGACGAAGCTTTAATAAAAGTGAAACATGTTAGATTGATAAACGTTTCCTATTCGTCCTTTTTATCTTATCATACGCAAATATCATTTTTCTACGGAGTAATGGATAGCGGCTCGGATTGAAGAATCGGAGAGCTGAGTTCGAATTCCAGTCGAATCCATTGGCAAAAGTATGAATCCTTGGAAAAAGGTATGAATCCTATTCTTCCTCCCACCAACAGCTATCGGTGAATAACAGTACAGGCCGAGTACTATGGCCTTGGATGGCAACTGGTCTACCGCAGAAAAAATGGCAACCTACTGCAGGAAAAAAACTGCCTCGTCAGTCATGTATCGAAAGATGCATGATCGCCTGAGCGTGTATCATGCATGGCACATAACTAACTGACTTTCCAGTGAACATTTAAATATAAAATATATGCTGAGTAATTTCAGAAATCATTATCTAAGGATTATGTTGGCATACATTGTGTTTTTTTATTTTATTTTGTATCAGATATATCCTTTTTTCAAGTACTGAATCTTTACACGTTTTCAGTTATTTTTAAATTCTCGCATATTCTTGCTTGTGTCAGCTTGTGCTGTCGTATATAAAACCTATTTCAGAGGTGTATGCTTTATATACTGGAGTTGAATCTTTCGACAAAATTGAAGTAAGGAAGAATTTCTTTACCCAAAAAATAGTCAAAGAATTATATGATCATGTTTTTTTTTATTGTCTCCTTGGTAGGTTTTAAAATGTTTTTTGAAATATTCGGCGACACATGGGACTGACTGAGTGAATCTTTGGCATTTCTACGACTTATGAAATCTTTATGACTTACGAAAAACCGAAATATATTTTCGGCTTGTAAGAATAATTATTTCCTATTTGCGAGTAATTATTACATTTCTTGGAGAATAACAAACATCTTACAAATACATATCGTATTATTTAACCCATAAAGGAGGAGAGGGGTTAGATGCAGCACGTGGGAAAGTATGTGTTGTAGCATGCCTACGGAGGATAATAGGTATGTTCCCATTTACATAAATACAATAGTAAATACCGTATGTTGGTCTGCAGTTGGAGATTCGTCTCCAGCTGTTCTGGTCAAACTATCTACCTCCGGGCAGAGAGGTTCCCCAGATGAGGCTATGTCGAAGGGCAGAGTCTCCTCTCGGGAAACAGCTACCCGACCTCATTTTATACGGGGTCTACGGGGAATTTTTGGCCGAGCCTATGGGCTCGGGTACCCCACATTAAATTCGGCCTTATGCCGCATCTGGCCGTGTGGGGCGGTTGTTATATATCCTGCATTTGCAGATTCGTCTCCAACTGTGCTGGTCAAACTCTCTGCCTCCGGATAGAGACGATCCCCAGACGAGTCTATATAGAAGGGTAGACTCTCGTCTCGGGAAACAGCTACCCGACACCGTTTTTTGCGGGGTCTTCGGAGAATTTTTAATTTAAATTCGGCCTTGTGTCACATCAGACCGCGTGGGGCGGTTGGTAGATATTCTGCAGTTGGAGATTCATTATGGAATTCCCTTGGCTCACTTCTAGTAGTTGACTACTTCTTCTACGGGCCGCTGGCGAATCTTATATGTGTTGTTCGTGTCCTAAGTATTATAGTTCATTACCAACGTTCGTTTGATTATTCAATTCAATAGCCTTCTCTAAATTACAAGTAACAGAAAACATTTATCATGTTGCTCAAAGTAAATATGTTATTTTTGTTGTGCATGTTTCGAGTAATCTGACCACAGATCGGCTACCAAATATAAGAAGGACTTTTCTACTGCATTTTATGAATGTTTTACACGGTCCGTTTTGATGTAACCTTTTGCGTTCGAGATCTCAAAACTGGAAGAAATTCTTCATTGTACAATTTTTAATGTTTACAAAGCATTTAAAAATATACACATTATATAATCCCCGGTGTGAGAAATATTCATCACTGAATTAGGCAAATAGAAAAAAAATCAAATTAATTATGTTGAAAGATATATTACTGTATTAAATAAACGTTTAGGGTTATCTTTTTCGCCATGATCTTTAAAAAAAAATAATCGATTATTTATTACCTGTGATTATCATGTCTTATTTGGAAAGAAAATATGTCTTTACTGTTTTCTTTACAGTTTTGAATTACATTGCTGTTCAAGCTATAAAAAAAAACTTCAGAATATCTTGATATCCATAAACTACAGAATACCAATGTAAGCGAGTATTTACTGACACAATAATTAGTTTAAATCTCTAACAATATACGTTTAAAATGTGTTGGATGCTTATATTTAATAATATAATATTTGGATTAAATGACATGCAAGGATTAGAATACACTTTCGTTTCTATTTATCTCTAGGAAATAGTTTAATTTAACTTTTGCTGATATATTAATTACACAAACACAGTATAATTAAAAAATGTAATGTAACGCATGTGAATCTTTCGGAAATCCGAATTTTAATTGGCCATTTCATTCAAACTGTTAAAAACGTTCGAGTAATTAAGGAAACACTCGTTTTTCCGTCACATTTCTGTTATCCTATTTTTTCATGTTGTCCATTTGTTTGTGTCCACGTTTATATTTCTAAAGCTCTCCCATCTCAGTTATCGGAAGTTGTTTGGATTTTACTTTTATTTTTAAGATAAAAGTATAAACACGAGACGACACATATCAACAGCAACATGGACAATGCTTGAGGGTTCAACTCTGCTTCAGAAAGCACAGCGCGTCTTTGATTCCAAAGATTCGCACCTGGGGATGTGGATTTCTAAGAAAAACTTAGTCCTGATCGTTATGTTACAATGGATTATTGGCGGACAAAAATAGACCTTCCAGGATTTGGGAAGCAAAGTTGAACGAGTTCTGGTACAAGGTGGCTAAGGGACCTTCTTGCATTATTGGTTTCCCCCATGATTTAATTGATAATCAGTCGCCGGCATAGTTTAAAACCAGATGAGATCTGCTTGTTTCTTTTAAAAAATAATCTTTTTTATATAGCGTGTTTACTTTTAGTAATACGTAAGCCTAAATTAGTTTGGCAAAAGTGATCAAGATAGCAAATATAGCGAGAAAGAAACACACTAAACAATAGTAGGTAGTCAAAAAGACTAGTTTATTAACCATTACTCAAGTTGAGGTGCCATTGTAGTGCATATGTTTTTGTGAAATATGGTTCAGTATGACAATCATAAACGTGTCTTTACTTCCACTTTAATCATCGTAGGATGCGCGCGTAATGAAAGGCTAGCTGTTCGGTTAAACCAGTTTGTTTTATTCACTTATGCAAAAATACCCTTAGGAATGGTATGAGTTCATCTATGTGTCAAATATCATACGCGAACGATGGTGCAAATGCCAAAACTAACTGGGCTCTTTCGATTTGACGTGACAACCATCTGAGAAGAAGAAACATTCTGAATTCAAATTCTCCTTGAAGATAGATGAGAGCCGTCTGGCCATTTTATCAATACACAACACTGTTGCTATTAATGCAGTACATATGGTATCTCTATGATCGTATTGCTCTCGGGGACTGAATATGCGGTGTGATCTGACAACTTTCGCAAAACCAAAACTGCACCTCCAAAAGTTTTTTTCTCGGCTATTAGTGGGGTTGTAATGGAATAATGCTTTATAATTTCTTACAAGCTTCTTAGAATATTACGACTGTGTCCTTTTGCTGTGAAATTGGCCTACTGTTTCAGAATATGCAAGCATTTTAGCTCAACAGTGTTGTACATGGGTGGGCCGAACAGTTCATAGGCTAACTAGAAAGGAGGATTAGTAGAGTTGTGAAGGCTTATATACATTAATCTGCCCTTATTAATAACTGAATTGTTTCTTTCCAAATAATGCCATTTGCTTTTTGAACGAAGACTGAGCAACTTGCTAGCTAGTCAAATAGTCATCAGCAGCAGATATGACGTCATCATCACTGCGATACCGGTTCCCAGTCAAGTGTTTTTTATTCATGTTGGGGAACAGATGATGGTCAAATTGGGAGAATATGGAGGGTGACCAAGTTCCCCATTACACACGTAGCAACCATTATAAGCAAAGACTTGTATGCTGGGGCATTGTCCTGATGAAACAAAACCCCTTTCGTCAGATGTCTGTGCATTTCCTCTTGATAGCCTTTTCGTAACTGCCTCAGCAAGGTGGCAGAGTTCTCTCCATTGATGATGTGACTATTTTAAGAATAGTCAATAATCACAATGCTTTTGTGCACCGAACATTTAGGTCATCACATTTCCCTGTAGATGTAACTAGCTCGTCCTTCTTTGAAGCAGATGAGTGTGAGGGGCTGTTGCCAATAAATAGATTGTCACTGCAAAAATTGATGATCCCGACACTCGTTAGACACTGGGTAAGAAAACGTTCAAGGAAACCAGCTGGATCTGACTCAAGCAGTGTTTGATTTTCCGTGTTGAGGTCAGCCTGGTACGCTTTCGATCAGCTGTCAGAAGACGTGGCACCCACTGAGCAGAAACGTTCCTCATGGAAAGTTCACTCTCTATAATAGTCCATACTCTCTCGCATATATGCTACTAGCATTAGGCATTTGATTTGTAGTCACTAGCCGTCACTATATGGTGGACAAGATCAATGTTTCTACTCGGTGGTGCCAGTCGCAGGACATCCAGATCTTGGGTCACCTTCAAGACTTTTCAATCCTTTCTTAAATTAAGCTGCGCAATGTTCCAATGTTGATAAATCTGGAGCGTCATGCCTTAATGTAGGAACCATATCTGCGGGAATATCCTTGGGGGCTTAACCCTTTTTGTGCAGGTACTTCATAAAACAACGATGAGGCTAAATACGGTCCCCTTTTCTAGTTGTTACTTTTGAAGTCTTCTTTGAACAGCCAGATATCAGTTTACTCGGAAAGATGCAGATATTGAGAAAAGGATTGGAATTAATACATGCAAGATTTCACAACACTAGCATTATTTCTTCATAGTCAGCCTACGACCTTTTCAGCCCCCACTTTTCTACTTCTCAATAAACCTGGTTGAATCTGAAGAAACGAGGCACGCGCTTCCTCTCCTAGTCACTTTCTATTCATCAAAGCTACCTAGTAACACTTTTTCAGGGTTTTAGTGAGAAACATGCTCTCACAGGATTGCATCAATTCGAAATCGGTCTAAAATTATTTTTTGACCATATGTTGAATCCCGTGCCCAGAGTTTTTCGGAAAGAAATTCGCTGGTGGAATGTTAGCATTGCTATTTGAATTCTAATTGCTTTTTCACTAATAAAGTTATGTGTGTGCTCTGTTATGCCGCTTTAAAATCTTGAGTTCAAAACGATAATTTAATTATTTCTAATCTGATATAGCAGTATTAATATAATGACTAGCGTTTTGTGGATTATTTGAAAAATACCCGAAGCGATTCCTATGCACAGCGAACAATATTTTCTCTATTAAAGGCTTCCATTTAACGTCTTCTTATTCTTCCAACACAAAACTAATTGTACAAGTTTTTGTTTCGATTTTGTCAAAGCATATTTCAGGAATCCGAGACGTTGACGTTGATTTATTTTCAATTTCTCTTCACTTTCTCTTTCTCTCACTCTCCCTGTCTCCCTGTCTTTCGATCTTGTATTCTCTGTCTTTCCCTCTCTATCTATCTATCTATCTATCTATCTATCTATCTATCTATCTATCGTTCTGTTTTTGTATCTATGTTTCGTTCTTTGATTTTCTCTGTATCTACCTATCTATCTCTTGTTATCAGTGTTTTCTCTATATATCTATCTATCTGGGCCCCTTGGCGTGATGTAATGGTTAGCAAGCTTGTGTCGCTAGAACAATTACGACTGAGTAGTGAGTTCGAGCCTCACTGGGTGTTCTATACTTCCGGCCTTGTGCCCTCATCTAAGCAGCGCTTAAAAAATTACTATATATCTATCGTTTTCCATCTTTGTATATACGTACGTATGTATCTATCATTCTTTTTCTCTTTCTCTTTTTGTATCTATCTATCTATCTATCTATCTATCTCTCTCTATATATATATCACTCATTTCTATCGAACGTCTCTATCTATCTTACTCTATCATTCGCTCTCTCTCTCTCTCTATATATATATATATATATGTGTGTGTGTGTGTGTGTGTGTGTGTGTGTGTGTGTGTGTGTGTGTGTGTGTGTGTGTTAATCCTTTCGAACAAGGCAATAACTCTGCTAAGATACAGGTGCTAATGGAAATTTAAAAAACAAGAAATTTCTATCTCGTGTTCTCTTTTCTGCGTTTAATATATATATATATATATATATATATATATATATATATATATATATATATAAAAAAAGAGGGTGCCGCAAACGTTTTTTTGGTTGTAATGTGGATTTATTGAGAAAAAAATATTATACTTTGTTTTACATAATTTCACGACACGTGTTTCTGGTCTGGTCTCGCAACCGTCTTCAGGTGAAAGTGGAGATTTACATATTATTAAAAATAATTAATTTTCTTCATGTTCAATGTGGAATATTCTCGATATGAGACATTCTGTTTGTGTTGGCAATCCGAATTTTCTTTCTAGAATTGTGTGTTGGCAATCCGAATTTTCTTTCTAGAATTGCCAACACACAAACAGAATGTCTCATATCGAGAATATTCCACATTGAACATGAAGAAAAAATTAATTATTTTTAATAATATGTAAAATCTCCACTTTCACCTGAAAATTGGTGAGACCAGACCAGAAACACGTGTCGTGAAATTATGTAAACAAAGTATAATATTTTTCTCAATAAATCCACATTACAACCAAAAACGTTGGAACCACTCGTTGGAACCACTACAACATATTTCTTTTTATATATATATATATATATATATATATATATATATATATATATATATATATATATATATATATATATAAAATAAAAGGCTTAAACACTAATATTCCATGGTTATAATTTATCACATTGGAATTGCGATCCAATACATCAGACTTACAAATTCAAAAAAGAAATTGGAAAAAATAATTCCAGGAATAAAATATAAAATTTAGTGAGTGTGTATGTATGAGAGGGGAGGGACGAATGTGGGAAGTAAATCAAAGCTCTAACTCCTAAGTACGATTCCAATGGAATAAATTATGACCATGGAATATTAGGGTTTAAGCCTTTTTATTATATTCTTACTCTGTCCTGGATATTGAGTTCTACCTGGATTATATCCTCTTGGAAATATATATATATATATATATATATATATATATATATATATATATGTGTGTGTGTGTGTGTGTGTGTGTGTGTGTGTTAACCACTGATATTATATATATATATATACCGAAACAAACTTTCTTTAATCAACTGATACGATTGCATCAAATATTATTATGCGTGTTTTTTTCATTTTTTTGCGGGGGGTCTGTTATATCTCTTTTTCACTGTTGCATATGACTTCACTGGGGACTGATTCAAATTTTCAGCTCTCTGTAAAATATCAGGATGTAACAAACAGGATCTTTCCTACCACACTGACGGCACATTTTCCTCGATAATGACTGATACATTGGGAAATTCTTAAACAGGACCAACGGAAAGAACAAGAATATAACCCAATATTGTATAAATGCAGTAAAAAAACTAAACATATATTGCATCTGCCGTGCTAATTGAGGACAGAATTATAACCATTAGATGGTTATTTCCGGTGACGTACGGCTGACGTATAATGTCTCGAGTGTTAGCCATAGCAGGAATTATTTTATGGGAGAATCGATATTACCCAGATAGCTCGTCTCTCCTTTCTACGTCTCCGACGTTATCCAATGAAATGACATGTGGTATTTGCCACATGCCATTGGCATCATCATTGAAGTCACGAAAAAATGGTTTCAATCATGTCTGTTTATCGGATTTTATGCTCATATGTTTCTTTCGAAGACTTTTGTATCATTTGGTGTGATGGCTAGGAAGCGGAGATTTAAAATTAGAGTTTTACATTTTTTTTTTTGATGGTCTGGCAACTCAAACTGACGAAACCCACTACAAGATTTAAGCTTACAGCAGAGGAGATTTCCTATCGGTTATCCATTAAATACTGAAAAGATCCGTATCTACGTAACCTTACGGCTCGGACTAGAACCGATGCATTCAATTTGAAATAACCGCTAGCTCAATTATAAATATGTATGAAATTAATATAGTACATTACAAAGCTATAAATCCGACTATACAGGGAAGATCGAATACCCTCTAGTAGAAGTAGCTTGATGGTGGGTACCTCGATAATCATTTCTCTGTCAGGGAAAATACAAGAATTAGTTTTTTTAATGCATGGCATGTTTGAGAAGATTTTAGTATGAGACGTGAAAGTAATTATTATTATTATTATTATTATTATTATTATAATTATTATTCTTTGTACCGTATTCCTTCAGGATGTTAATGATCATGGCTCTCCACAATTTACTGTCCTCTTAATAAAATTTCACTCATAAACGCTATCCTGTTACCAATTTACTCCAGCTTGCTAGGCAGGATATATGTAGGTTGTTTTCTTGTGCCCCGATTACCTTCAATTTGTCTTGTGAGTATTAAATTTTCCAATCCTTCTTTCTTCATTATGTGCCCTAATAATTTCATCTGTCTCTTTTTTTATGCTAATTATAAGTACGTTTGTTTCCTTTTTTCTAAAACTTTGTCGTTACTGTAGTCTGTCCATTGTAGTCTCAGCATCTTTCTGTAGAACCACATTTCTGTTCTTTCAATTTTCTTCTTTGTCTATCATTCAATTTCATATCGGGAACTAATATAACGTAACAGTAAAGTATTCTTTTAACGGAAATTTCCTGTTTCTTAATTCTTTGCTTAGCGTTTGGAACACATGTTTCACTATCCCAACCCGAAGTTCGGATATCAGTTTCCCAATTTCCTTCATTTTTTAAAACACTTCCAAGATATTTAAATTGTTGTAATTGTTTGACATTGGATTATCTAAATTGTAATTTGCCTGTTGTGCTGTTCCTTTTGCAGACAAATATGCACTCTGTCGTCTTGCAGTTAATCTTTAGTCCTTTTTCTTGGTTTCCTTCACTATCATTTATAGATGTTCTTATAGTTGCCAGTGACTATTTTTGCTTATCGCAAAGTAATTTATTACTTTTTTTGCGATTTAATGCTGATATGTGTCAAGCTGAACAAAGATGTATCAACTAACTTAGGAATCATTGTTTTAAAGCAAAATATTTCCCTATACAGTGTAACCCGGATATAAGAGTTGTCGGGACAGGAGAAGTCTCTTATATCCGGGTTTCTCTTATATCCGGGTTTGGTCTATTTTGTTTAGGTAAGTATGGGCTCTAATTTGGGACCAGGGAAAATCTCTCTTATATCCGGGTTTCTCTTATATCCTGGTCTCTTATATCCGAGTTACACTGTCTATGTTCTTTAGGCCCAACACTGAACCATTCCAGATCTCTCTAACAAGGCCATGTTAGATTTGTCCATTGATCATCAACCAACAAAAATCTCTTAGAAATACAATGAGTTTATTCGCAGGTATTTATATATTTAATCATTTCAATATAATTAGAATATATCTATTTGTAAACTAGGTTCAGATTTTGCATAAGACTTCCTAATATCGAAGCTTTTGAGGAGTGTAACACCACCTCTTAATTGCTGTTATTCCCAGGTCCGCCCTGAAACAGAGTGGTACCATTTGTTAGTGTCCAGCTCTGAGCAAATTGTGAAATCCTAAAGAAAAAGAAACATTATGAAATTATAAAGACACATTTTCACAGTAAAAATACCAGCAATCCAGTTTTATATTAAAAAGGTCCAAGAATAAATACTTAAAATGACCAGCAATACATTTTACCTCCAGCTGAAGGAACACAATTGCATTCAAAATATATTTAGTTGAAGCCATAAAAGTGGGCTCAAATTATTTAGATTTCGGGATTAAATAACCCATAGAGATGTTTATATGCTTTTAAACAAAATCAACTAATCAAACAAAACATGATCAGATTGTTGCATTGTGAACGACGGGTATGAAGAATTTTAACAGATAGTGTTATTAATGTGTCAGAAACATTTCAAATGGCAAACAAGATCACTAAATCCAATTCCAAGAGGGTCGTAGAAGATTTCATAAAAGAGGAAGCCATGAGGTTGCACGAGGAATATGGCAAAATAGCTGCATATCTCAGATAGGTCATGAATAAGAGCTTAAGGCTAAGACCATACAAAATTCAACGGCCATAGCTGCTCTGGAGAGTCCCCCAAACACAAACATAGAGAGCATGGAGGAGGAGAAGCTTACTACAGACGAAAACTTCGTTCGCTCGTACGTGATGTTTTTCGCTGTGAACGCTGTGATCTACTATCAAAGGGATAGGATCAACTACACTTCAACAGAAAACATTACCGACTGACTCAGAACACATATCAAGCATCAGAAAACATCCACTAGGCTGCTGTTGCTTGTTCGAAATCGCCATGGCGAATCACTGAAAAATGGGTAACGTGAAATGGTTTACCAGCACATGTTTAAGAGAGATGCGTTGCTCATTTCTCAGTCGCATTTGGAAGTCACCATGTATTAAGTTAAGACGGACCTACCGCACACTTGGCCTATTTGATGCAGAAGTGATGCAAGATACATTTTCGTGGACATTATTCCAACTCAGTTTGGCCCCAATCAAGTACTGAAATTAATCGTATGAACAGTGCGATTTGGCCAATATTGAAGTTCGACGTTTTCCGTATCTCGCACTCGATGTGCGTGCCCCGAAAAAAGATTCTATG